TCATATCTGTCCCAGCAAGAATGACTGAAGTCATGTCAGAAAAAGTAAGAAGCAATGAGCCTTCTGTCTCCGCTTCTCTGGCCTGTTTTGCCTTAGACCTCTTTTTGCAGAAGTGACTGCAAACATGTGATCGCCGAGAGCCACACAAGAACGCGCTGAATTGGTACACTACGAAACGAAACGAAAATTACTCACGATAATAGTCAAACGAGTAGAAGACTACTTCTCTTTTCTAGCAAGCGTAGGGCATAACATGTGTAAACTGAGTGGGGTCTAGTGATAGCGATACAACATCGTCCTCAAACCGCTTACTTTCCAAATCGAAAAATCCTGCCTTATTACCAAGCCAAAGTCTACAGGCAGCTCAGTCGGAAAAAAACTAAAGGACAGCACCATCTATTAGCTATCGAAAGTTTCCAGAGTCAAAACTGAATATACCATACACAAAATTAAGCTGTGTGAGAGGGAAACAGTAGCATTGATTGACATAACAATAACAAACAAGGACCTCACTTTAGCACGAATAAAGATGAAAAAAAAAATCGTACCCAAGGCCTTGTTCTCTGTATTTTCGCATCACTAGATTCTACATCTGGAGAGGTGGCTTCCTAACAACACAAACACAACGACCTCTACGAAGCGGTGACCAATAAATCACCGACATAGCAACAAGAAAAAACATGAATAAACCAGAATATGTAAAAGTCCCTTATATATACTTTGGATCAGACAGTGACTGACCTCACTCGTGTCTTCATTCTCCTGCGCGATGGTTCCTTCACGGGACGACCAGCATCTGCCCTGCCTGGCGTACACGTAGCACACGTAGAGGAGAATGATCGTTATGATGACCCAGCTAATGAAAATCATGAAGACCTTTTCCTTGAGATAAAAAAGCAAGGTTTTAGAGTATTCACAAAGGCATATGAAGATACATTACTGGAGAAGGGATGAAAAATGGAAGGGAAGTAATTTGACAAAGAAAGAACGATGGCATTCTATGGTATTGCAGAGCGTATCGACACTTCAAAGTAAAATAGTACCAAGTATAAAAAGTGGAAACAATGCCATAAAAAACGTAACAATAATCTAGAATAACCAACAATGCTTACAGCAACTACACCCACATTTATTTTCAAAGAACTAAAAAGAACATATTTATCCCTCCGAATCACCTCAAAACATGCATATTGCACCAGCCTATAAGACGCGCTCTCTTTAAAAAGAATATGCATACATCCAGACCTTCATGCCATCACAAACGGAGCTCCTCTTCTCCTCCTCTTCCTCTTCGCCGCCTCGACCAGGGCGACCCGGGGTCTGCCAGAGGACTTTGTTTGTACATCAGCGTAATCTTACGCATAACCATAATCATCATCATCATAATAAAAACAACAATAGTAATAATGATAATAATAACAATAATACTAATCATAAGGATAACAATATATAAAAATGATAATAGCAACACCAATGATGAATATGATGATGATGATGATAATAATAATAATAATAATAATAATAATAATAATAATAATGACAATGCTCATAATAATGTTAAGAACAATAGTATTAACAAGAATATTAGTATCAATAATAATAATAAAATACATCGTCGTAATCAAGAACATAATATCGATAATAAAAGTGATAGTGATGATGATGATGATAATAATAATAATAAATAATATATTTTGTTCAAAAATTGTTACTTAAAAGTATTACATTACAATATTTGCATTTAAGTGTCTAACAGAGTGTTACAGTTGACATATATCTGGTTGTATAAACCTTTGATTCACAAATTTCAGCGTTTACATCTTCGATGGGTGTTTCTTAGCTGCCGGAAGTCAAAGTCAAAACATTTTATTCCATTAATTACAACGGTTAGTCTGGAGAAAGATTGTGTGTGCGCATACATGTGTATATGTATGTATAGATATACAAAACCAGACTGAGAGATATGCAGATAGATAGATATTTATGTATGAATCATATTAGGACACGTACACAGTAAGTGCATGATTTAGACACCGTGACGATTACATACCGTACAGTTGTCTCCTTCAGTTAATTTCAGATCTTCCAAACTTTTCTCTGTCCGATATGGTGTTCTGGGTAAACTGAAAAGAAAAAACGTTAACATATAAAGTCACTGGTATGGAATTCATGAAAAAATGCAACAGGAACAACGAAAGGAAGAACAAAGAAAACACACATGCCAATTCGTGTGTTTTCTTTTTCTTCCCTTCGTTGTTCCTGTTGCAAAGTCATTGGTATGTTGAGAATCAAAAGCCTTATATATTTAGCAGAAGCAGTCCGTTTCGATCCTTGGTCTTAAGGGAAGTGTACATCATAAAAATGTAAGAGGAAAGGAAAAACAAATATTCAGTTCGCGTTTTCATTTTCATATTAGACTCTTTAACTGTCAAACTTTGTCCATTTTTTCACTGCTTGTGTAAATTCATGTAAAGTTTTGATTATTTTTTTTCCATTTTTT